TAAATAAATAAATTTTTCCAGGGAAATGAGATAGCTACCTAAAGCTGAGATTCACTGAAGAGAAAATCCTTCCTAAAGAAGTAAAGATAAGTTAGAAGACTTTAAATAGTCAATTGTAAGCCAAAATAAGGTAAAATTAAAATGGTATTGGACCTTGTGGTTTATACACCCTATTTCCAAAGTTCAAAAGAAAATTTAAACCAATAATTTCAATCCTGGATAGACATACATAAAGGTGACAGGTCAGTTCCCAGGCAAATCTCACATCAAAACCTACCAGATATCTGCTTTTCTGCCATATCCTTCTCCACTGATGACTTCCGGGCTCATCCAGTATGGTGTCCCTGTGACGGACTTCATTCCTGTTCCTGAGAGGCAGATGGTCTGAAGCCGTTTGCTGGCGCCAAAATCTCCCAGTTTAACATTACCTGTTGAGTCTCGCAGGATATTTGCACCTACAAGTGAGAAAAGAGCTTCACTTCACTTTCTTTTACTGTATTCTAGAATACAGTACAAAACAACAACAGAGAATATCTTCCCAAACCAGGTTGCCTTTCATCTCGATAAGCAGGACCTGGCATCCCCTAGTCACGCAGCAGATGCTTATTAGGAACACAGCACATGAACTGCACTTTTGTTTTGTTTTGTTTTGTTTTGTCTTTTTGAGACAGGCTCTCCCTATGCAGTTCAAGCAGGCCTTGAGCTCACTCTGTAGTCCAGGTTGTTCTCGAACTTGAAATAGTCCTTCTGCTTCAGCCTCCCCAGTACTGGCACTACAGACGTGCACCACCACACTGGCTGAACTCTGCATTTTGAATCAGTTATGCTAAGGAAGGACCTAGGAAGGCTCTTCTGTTGAAAAGATCAGGATGGAGGTGGAGGTAAACAAGAAGAGAAGGGGGAAAGGCAAAGCGTAACCTGATGAAGTATTAAGGAAGAACAAGTGGCTCAAAGGCCCTATTTCACATAAAGCAAAAAGCAACTGGCTAAAGATGATTTCCCTGGGCTCAGAGATAGCTCGGCAGTCTAGGTGCCTGCCTGGCAAGCGCAAGGTCCTGAATTCCATCCCTGGTACTGCATGCCATGCTGGTCCCAGAACCAGGTGTGGTGGTGCACACCTATAATCCCAGCACTGGGAGGCTGAGACAGGAAGATCACTACAACTCTGAACTCTCAACACCATCATGGGCACACACCATCACCATCACCCTGTATCAAATAAATAAATGCAAGACCCTGTATCAAATAAATAAATGATATTTTTTAAAAAGATGATTTCCCTGAGGAAGTCATGTTTTCGTCAAGAAGTGCCTGAGGGACTTATCTAATAAAAAACTACTACTTTTGCCCTTCATTACTTACCCTGTATTTTAAAGTTTTTTCTTACATTGTGTTTTGATTTATATTAAGTTTATTTCTTCATTTCTATCTATATTTTAAATACCTTTTAAGTAAGCTTTAAGCCTATCATAAGCTTTAACATTTCATTTACTTTTGTGAACTTTTTAAGACAGCTTTAGAGTTACAGAATTATTACAAAGACAGAGTTCCCATATACCCTAAACTGTTTCTCCTGTTATAAATAGGAGAAATATGTTAGTATAATACATTTGTCATAATTAAACCGTGATAAACCATTAATTAAAGTCTGTATTTTGTAACAATTTCAAATTTTTCCCTAACACCTTGAATCTGTCTCAGAATTTCACTGTGTTACGTTTACTCATCATGTATGCCTCTTTCAGTCTTCTAGGTATGACAGTTTTTCAGACTTTCCTTCTTTTATAATGTCCATGGCCCTTCTGGGAAGTACTGACTAGATTTTTATAAATGTCTTTCATTTGGGCTTTGTCTCATTTTTTTACGGTTAGGCTGGGGTCGTAAGGTTTGGGGGAAGAAGAGCAGACGTAGAGGACTACTGTCATCGCACACCACCACGGGCACACACCATCACCATCACTACCATGTCAGCATGGCCCATGACCACCAGCTGGACCAGTGCTGGTCAGGTTCTCATTGCAAGTTCCCTGCCTTCCCCTTTCCATACTGTACTTTTTCAAAAAATTCATCATATATAGCCTACAATTAAGGAATGGAGGATTATGTTCTGGGATGAGGACCTACATAAATTACTTGGAATTATTCTGCAAGGGAAAGTGTTCCCTTCTCCTCCAATTGATTATTAAATCATTCATTTATGTCACAACTGTATGGGTATATATGTTATACTTTGGGTTATACTCTAATACTACCTTATTTTGCTGTTCTGCTTGTCACAGGTACTCCTTCCGTAGACTTTCCTTTTTGCTACATACCAATCATTGTGTTTTTGTTTCCTGTGTTGTTTTGCACTTTCTAGCAGAAGATGCCCCAACTCATCTTGATTCCTGCTCAAGTCCCAGAATGAGTCACTTCTCCAGTGAACTCAAGTTCCTTTTAGTAAAAAGTGGTATTAAAAACAAGATTTTATATTCTGGACTCATTTGCTTTTTACTGTCTACTTTCCCCATTATATCTCACATTACTGTTTGTTTGTTGGCAACACCAAGGACTGAACCCAGTGCTGCTACAATAAGCAACGTCTCCATCCTTCTTTTGTATTTTAAGACAGGTTCTCACTAAACTGCCCAGGCTAGGCTCAAACGTGCAATCCTATTTTGGGCTCCAAAAGTGCTACGATTATAGGCATGTGCTACCACATCTGGCTTGACCAATAGTTTTTCTAGGACTCTATATCTAGTTTTTCCTTTAATAAGTTATTTCTTTTCTTTAGTTTTTTCTATAAATTACATGTTTTTTTTTAAAGCTGTATATTTTTATTACCTAATTTTTAGTTTGTTCATTTACTTTTGGAGATATGGTCTATGTAGTTCACAGGGGCCTTAAACTCACTATGTATCTCAGAGCAGCCCCTAATTTGTATCAGTTCTCCTGACTCAGCCTCCTCCTTAGAGATGTGCACCATCACACCCAGCTATCAATTTTCACATTCTATTTCAGTATTTATTTTTAGGTCTTGTTCAACCTTAAACACATTTCAAATGTTTTAGTCATCCTATTTTTAAAATTTTTAAATGCTCTATATGAAGGAGGGTGAATAGTAGGAGAAATCTATATTATAGGCTGGAGAAAACATAAACTCTCTAGCTCCACCATGAGCTTTTCATCTCCCCAAATCCCTCAACGGACATAATGATGGTACTCCAAAGTTCCTCTGCAGGAGGGTGCAGTAACTATTCTGTGCACACCTTAAATCTAAATATGCTACATTACCAGTAACCCTTGAAAAGGAGCATTTTCTTTTTTTTTCCCCCAGAACTGGGGATTGAACTCAGGCCCTTGCACTTGCCAGGCAAACTCTTATTTGACTGAGCTATCTCCCCGGCACCAGCATTTTCTTTTTATACTTGCTACCATTCAATACTTAAAAGAAGGACTCTGTTGAAAAAGCTAACATCCTTATTTAACCAGTGGAAGGATGACAAAGCAGTTTCTGTTTCTGTTTTGAGACCGGGTCGTACTGTGTTGTCCACGCTGGCCTCAATTTCCTTGGCTCAAGCGATCCCCGCCCCAGTCTCCTGAGCAGCTGGGACCACAGGTGTAGCTAGCTTAACAAGCTGAGTTGTATTTGTTACAAGCAAGGAAGGAAGCATCCTGGGACCTCCACAGACAGGGACAGCTATCTGTGGAGGGAGATCCTCAATGCTACAGGAGGGGCTGGAGAGAAAGTCAACAACCAGGTTTGGTTTGGTTTGTGTGTGTGTGGTGTATTTTAAATTGTTTTGCACATGTTAGAAGTTACTAAAGGGACTTTACAAACATAAACAAAAGTGGAAGGAATCATATATGTACCAAGCTTCAACATCCACCTGGACAGTCCTGCCCAAGTAATATACTGCCACCACTCTCTCTTCCATCTCAGGGTTGGAAGAAACCCATGACATCATAGTCAATTAAAAGTTCAGTACCTATTTTTAAAAGATAAGGACTGTTATCACATTCAAAAATATGAATTCCAATTTTTTAATATTATCAAATAGCTATTTTTTTTTAATACACATACACACCAAAAGAGAAGAAAAACCCAAGTTAGGTCTATACAGTGAGCCTTTCCTAACCTAAAAGTTCTACTCTCCTTTTTCCCCCCTTTACCTTGCTAGCTATACCTTAAGGGGCCATTTGAACATGTTCATTTGCCGTATATAAACATGCTACAATCTGCCAGCTGAACTGAAGTTTGATAGGACTGGGAGGGCACAGTTAGGTAATGCTGCACTGCTCACATCTCTGCACTGGTCATGTCAGCAGCTGCTGGCTCTTCCTTTACCAATTAAAAGCTGTTCACAAATATTGGGAAATACTGAAAAAGACACATAATAGAAAACAACAGTGACTATCTTGCTATTTGGTGACAGCCACTGCTAATCATAAGACTTGCTGTGTTGTCCATGCTGGCCTCGTGTCCAATTTAACTTTGACAAGCGTGAGATCACAATGCACAACTACTATTCTATCTCTCCTTCCTCATCGATGTATTTTCCCTATCATATTTAAAGTCAGCTTGCTTTCATGCTCAATCAGCCAAGTTGGCTCATCACTCCTTCTGGCAGGACGAAAGGAGACCCATGTGGAAAGCTGTTCCAGCTTTTGTCGCAGTATCAGGTCCCATCCTTGAGCCTTATGTGCTCGCAGGTGGGACTTCTGGGAGGTGGCTGCATAGAAGGTATGTGACACTGGGATTAAAGGCATGTGATATCTGTATTAGTCCCCTAATTGGATTAGCATAGTTCTAGGTGTGGCTGATGGATTTATAAAGAGGGAAGCCACACTCCTGGCACCAGCAATAGGCTTGTAGACTGGATAGAATACAAAGGAACAACAACAAAAAGAATACAAAGGGACAGAAGGAAGGCAGGTGGCTGCTTGCTGCTTTGCTGCCTCCCGCCTGCCCTGCCATGCCAAGCCAACCTGCCTTGGAACCAGACAGCTATGGACTCAAAGCTCTATAAGCTGAGCGCTGAAATAAACCTTTTCTGCTTTAACTTGTGGGTGTCAGGGATTATTCCAACAACAAGAAGGCAACTAAGACAGCTGCTTCCTTAGCCCTCTCCCTTGCCTCATTCTGAGTGTCAGTGAGAAACTGGCCTGAACAGCAATTATTCCTAAGTGAAAATCTTTGTGATTCATAAAGCCACTTACCTGGTTTCATACTTAGAATAGCTGCGTTCTGCCTGAGAGAGCTCACAGGCCACACCCTCGGCCCCTGTGACTGCTGCTGCAGATGGTGGGGTGATGGCGCATCCAGGCCTGACACGCTGTGCAAACCCTGCACCACTGGGCGGCACCCCTGCCTTTCGCGTTCACTGTTAAGCCCGTTCCAGGCGCTCCCACTCAGGCACTCTACAGATTCTGTTCTAGCACCAGAAACTGGCTAGGAATGTTCTCCTGGGCTTGCATATGGCCACCTCAGGATGTGCCACACCACAGGGAAGCAGAAGCCTAGGAGCCCATGAGTTCCCGGCAAGAAGAATGCCTTATATATTCAGATACACTTTTGCATTTATTAATTTATTTTTATTGGCTGATAAAGTGAATAAAATTTGATAAACTGATAAAATTTCTAAATTTGGGATCACAACAATCTTACATAATTAGACCTCTTTTTTTGTGGAACTGAGGATTGAACTCAGGCCCTTGCGCTTGCCAGGGAAGCACTTATTCCACTAAGCTACCTCCCCGGCCCCTACAGTAAAGTTTTAAGTACTCTCAAATTTTACACACCCTCATCACCTGACCTGCTTTTGTAGCTTATATGCATTCATTCACATACCTGATCCCTGAAAACAGCTGTTTCTCAGATTTAAAAAAAAGGTTTAACTGAGTTCACCACCACTCAGTCTCTTTCCTTAAGTAATGATTCACAGGATTTTCAATATATTATCAACATCAAGTGTGACATCATTATAGCTCACTTTTGAGTGTTTTCTAGGTACTGGGTACTGTCCTAAGTCCACACAGTAACAATCACTGTAAGGAGCCTCTTGTAAGAAGGCAGAGTAAAGCACAGAGACTAGATGACTTGACCAAGATCACAGAGTCCTAACAGAGAAAGCTTGAATTTGAATCAGGTTGCCTAGAAGCAGATCCCTAACGCTTAACCACTCCCTTCTAGCGCCTATACACTATATATGAAAATATGGTCTCCTTTATATGGGCTTGTGGACTTTATTGATCTGTGAACCTCCAAAGTGGAGCTACTCATTTGTGGAAACCTGAACATCAAAACATCAAAAGAACATTTTTAGAGTAGATGTATGCATTTAAATGTTAAATGCTCCCTGGTTCTGCAAAAAAATAGTTAAATGCCTTAGCTATATCACTTGTTTCATTCATAAAGAACTGTGTAAAGTAAAAAGTATCTCATTACTTACCTTTGATATCTCTATGGACAATCATATTACTGTGCAAATAATGGACACCCTCCAGAATCTGACGTGTGTATTTCCTAGTCACATTCTCAGTGAGAGCTCCATATGCTTTTAATTGGTCCTTAATTGAGCCCTAGCGTAAAAGAGAAACAAAAATTATGATACAGTTTGAAATGAAAACTGGTATTAAATCCTGACTTTTAAGCAAGTCCAAGTTCATGAGTAGGAAGCTGTATTTGGAGAAGGCAGATACTGTCAGTAGTGATACAACATGCCCATGCAATTTAAAATAATTCATCTGCATTCTCCAAATAGAACTATGGGGGAAAATGTCACAGTTGAAAGAAGCAATTAAAACTGTTTTGACTGGTGCCCCTTTCTATGACTATGCTGGTTCTATCTCCTATTCCTGCCAACTGTTTTACAAAATTCTCTCATCCTTTATCTTCTTTTGTCCTGACCATGTCTTTATTTTTTCTATTATCCCTCTGAGTATGCGAGCCCTGAATTTATATTGTTCTTACTCTATATTTTAAAGCTAATTTGTGTCGTATTTTTATCTGTTGATTTCTTCCTCAGGAGAAAGAAAGGGTATGATAAGAAAATCAGAATGTGTTGAAGAGTTTTCTATTTTTGCTTTATGTAGCTAACACTCTAGTTAAAAACATATAAGAAAATACAGTAAGGAAGAATTTCATATTTTTTAAAGTGTATTTTTAGGCCAAGAGAAGTGCCTTTTTCTGAGAATGCTGAATTAGTCTAAGACGTAACACAGGAATTTGTTTTGTTTTGGTTTCTTTTTTTTTTTAATGTAATTCTTTTTTTTTTTTAATTTATTTATTTGTGTGTGTGTGTGTGTGTGTGGCCAGCTCAGCCCACCAGGGGGCGGGGCTGCCTGGCATGTGGTGCTGGGGATTGAACCACGGTCCCTAAGCTTGTTCTAAGTAGGTGCTTTAGACCACTGAGCCATCTCACCAGCCCTTGTTTTGGTTTCTAAAACAAAAAAAACCTGTTGACGATCCTCCTGCATGCTTCAGTTTCCAGAGTCCTGGAGTCACAAGTGTGCATCACTGCATCCAGCTCAGGACAGATACTGATTGACTGTTTGTTTGTTTATTCTGCCTTTTTGAGACAGGGTCTCGCTATGCAGTTCAGGCTGGCCTTGAGCTCACTTTGTAGCCTAGGCTGGTCTCACTCACAATGATCCTCCTGTCAGATTATAGGCTTGTGTCACCACACCAAGCTCAGACACTGAATTCTGAAAAAGTTTCCTTAGTGATTCCAATGCACAAGTTTAATGATTACCATTTTAATGGAAATAAAGTGCTTCCAAAGAGACAAATCTGTTTTTTAAAAAGGAAATACAGCAAAATGTTTCTGCCTTCCTTGAAGTTTGTACTCAGCTAAAAGCTGTAGAGCCCCAGATTCTGCAGATTAAGCATTTGCTATTTCTGCTACCCATGAGTGATCCTTGCAGAGACAGCAGCACACCCAGCCCTGCAAACACACACAAGGAATGTCCATTACCCTTATCACTTATTGCGGCATGTTTATTGACAATCTTCTTACTGTGTTCACTTGTAGTACTACACAGAATGACTCTGCTAAAATTGAGCTCTCCAAGCAGTAAGCGCAAGTAACTGTAGACTGATGGGTCTTCTGGCCAGTTGGGTCAGTGCACTGTGGCTCCTAACAGCTCCATCAGTGTTGTCTACCTACCTCCATGTATATGAAAACGTTAACTTCTGCTGGACATGGCGGCACGTACCTGTAATCCTAGCACTCTGGAAAGCTGGGAGGGCTGCAAGTTTGAGCCCAGGGTGAGCTACTTAGTAACTTAGCAAGATCCTGTCTCACAAATTTTTTTTTTGTCTATTTTAAAGGGTTGGGTATAGCTCAATGTGAAGGAACAGGGTTCAGTACTGAGAAAACAAACAAGCAACAACAAATATATACATATATAAAACGTCTGCAGTATGTACAACTGGAATGGTTTAAGAATTGTGCAGCAAAGAGAAACAGAGAAAGACACAGACAGAAAAGCCAACTGCTGTTTCAGGTACTGAAAAAGTAAAAAGTTGGGCTGGCGAGATGGCTCAGTGGTCTAAAGCACCTACTTAGAACAAGCTTAGCAAAGCACAGGGACCGCGGTTCAATTCCCAGCACCACATGCCAGCCAGCCCCGCCCCCTGGTGGGCTGAGCTGACCACACACACACACACACACATAAATAAAAAAAATTAATTAAAAATTACAAATAGGGCTGGTGAGATGGCTCGGT